AAGAAATGTATGGAGAACTAAAAATGAGTTTACTCGCTCTCTAGATCAAGTACGCCTTTCAAATTTGGCCAGTTAACTCCTTTTTGCAGTATCTAACGTTTGCAAATGATAATTCTTTCTGAATTTGAATTCAGCGAGAATTATTTGACATCGATTTCCCGGTCATTCCTTGTTATTTTGCGACACTATGCCTACCCGTCCAAAATGGCGGACAAAACCGTCACCTCATCTATTTCAGAATGGGCAATTGTAAAAAATGTAATCACAAGCCAGTGTATGCCAAACGAAATGGACCGGAGCAGGGCTTGTCCTCTAATTCTACTTAATGCGATCGCTAACATTCAGCAGTGTGATATGGGAAATAAGTACTAGTTGAAAGTTTTGAATCGATGGACTAAATACGAAATTCTTGCGTAAGGCCTTCGCAGCCTCGTTTTGGTGTTTTCTTCTAACCCTTACTACTTACTGTAAGAGGATGTAATTTTTCTATGAAACTTTCAGAGCTTATTTTCAGGTTTCATATCTACTATCTGGGTGTTTTGGTTTGTCGACATTATGAATTTAACAATAATATGCTGGTCATGAATAATAATAATAATAACAACAATAATATGTTGGTCATGAAAATCGTCAAGGGAAATACACATTAACAAATTGGAAACATTAATAGCCGCTTCAAATTCTGAGTAAATTCCGACAAGAAAATACACAGGAATGCATAGAAATTCATTGGTAACATGGGAATACACCGGGATATATGGAATACGCGGGAATACAAAGGAATACGTGTTAGCGTGACCTTTACCCGCTGACAGTTAGTTTTGAAGGCTCATTTTGGGTGTAGTGTGTAAAACGAACTGCGTCAGTCGCAACTTGTGTGCAAATTTATATAACAGTTTTAGAACTTGAATTATTAATTCCCTTCATAGAGTTTCACACTCTTAAGACGAGCAATGATTTTTTTTCACTTCTGGATGATTAATTATCGATTTGGTAGAAGTATTGCCAATTTTCTTCTACCGTTTGAACTCTGTCATCATCCCGTTGGACGCCTTGTGGCCGGCCGATAGTGATTCGTCTCAAAACCAGCACAATGGCTTAATTGTGACAGCCTTGGAAGATATAGCAGAGAAATGGGGGATTTTCACTATCTGAGTAAGTATAAAACATGTTTTTACCGAGGGTTAAAAATGTTAAAAATCATAGATGACGCGACGCCATAGTCTGAATGAAGTGGCATGATTTCCCTAGGGGTGTGTGCTGGGTACATATTGACCGGGTCAAAATACGTCACTGTCAATGTACTTGAGCCAAATGTTTTGTGCAGGAGGCTACACAGGGCTACCATCCTGAGACCATTCAGCTATTTTGGTTTTAGACTTTCAGGAATGCTAAAATAAAAAGGCGAGGTGAGATTGAGGTTTTTTAGTTCAATGTAGTCATTATTTGACACTAAGATATTTGACTTAAGTTATCTAAATCTTTATAAGATTTCTAGATGGATCTTTCTGAACTAGAATTGAAAGCACCATGCATAAATAGTTTTTAAAGTGATGGAGAATGCATGATTATGATAAAACATTAACCTTTGAAAAGTCCCAATTTGTCTCTTTTTTACCAAATGATCTGGAAATCATATACTGTGATAGAATACATTGCTTTCCTTGTTGTTATATACAGGAATGGATTGTTCAGAGTGGGGTGGCTAACATTAAAATTTAATATTACATGTAAAGTATGTTACAATTTGACTTTTCAGGCTCAGAAATTATCGTTTATCGTTATCTTGGGCACACCTATAATATTTCTGACTTTTCAAATAGACACAAAAAACAATGCAATTATAGCGTAACAAGCTGTGTTAGTATATTTATGTATTTCACTTTTATTTATTTTAAATTTATTTATTTTTTACTTCGCACTGAGTATTGTAATAGGTGTCTATGTGGACCATAATTTCAACAATCTTAATTTCATTTTTTTTTCTTTTTTTTTTCATGGACTTCCTTTGAAAGACCATATCTAAAATTACTGGGCATATTGCTAGGGCTTGCTGTGGTATCTTGTGGACCAAAGAAATATAGTCAAATACACTTGATTGCTGCCATATGCAGGAAACGATGATTGACTTTGTAATGTAAGCAATGGTGAAGATGTTGTTTTAAAAGTACAAGAAACTCTTTTTTAATTGTTAAAGATCATTTGCATATTGAAGTAAATCAGCTATCTATATTCATGTTAACACAGGAAGCCAATGTATGCGATCTGTGATCATCTCGTTACCTCATAAAAAAACAGGAATATCTTTTATGCATTGGAAGAACATACTGTAATGATTGTATACGTACACATTCAAATTTAACTTTGTACACAGTAGTGAATAGGATTTTTTCAATAAATAGTAGGCTATTCAAGTACAAACCTCACTTTTTGTGGACTTCATATAATCTTCATTATTATGCATCATAAACATTATTTGATATTTTCTTTCGGAAATATTTATGAGATTAATAGCTTATGTAGATGTTGGATATTATGATTTAGTGCAGACCTTGTTTGAGAAAGGAAAATTGTTTAAATCTGCAATTAAAATCCAACACTAATTAACTTGTGTTTTGTCAAATCTGCAGTTAAACATTTTTGAGCCAAGAACATCTCACTATATGTAGAATACCCAAAATTTGAAAAGCTGAATCTGTCAATCCAAAAACAAACAACAAAAAAACATACTCACACCTTTCATAGAAAAAAGTCTAAGGATTTGTGTGACCTCTAGGTTGTGATGGAATGAGGAAGTAAGTAAGCATAAGGAAAAAGTATTATCACTTCCTGTATCAAAATAATATTATCCAGTGCATTACAGTCAGTCTAGATCAAAATAAGGAGAAAACAAAAGCAATCTTATGTAATGGATGACACATTTCAAACAAATTTGATAGTCTGCAACTAGGTGTTGATGTTTTGAAATCTATGTTCAACAGGGAAGCACTATCTACTTGTTTTAAATTCCTATCCATCATATAAAATTATTAACTTTAGCCATTCTTCTTACAAACAGCCCCAGAAATATTAAATAAATAAGTCTGTTCCAACAAGTTTATGTTTGAGATCGTTGTTATGTAAACAGATTCTTATTTGAATTCTACTGAAAATATTAACAAAGTACATGTCAAGATCAATATATAGATTCAGAGTACCCAAAATCCCTTTGTCTTTGTCTGATTTCACCTTTGGAACCTGATAATTTTTCATTATGTGAATAGCAGCAATGAGATAAAGTATGATTAAAACAGGTTTTCATGTCAAGGGCATGAATAACAATTTTGTTGATATAGTTTTTTGGTACTAAAATACTCATTGTGTTTCAAAGTTAAAATAGCATCTGTTGATTATTTATTGAAGGACAGTGTGCAGCTAAACATGCAGCTTTTATGTTCAACCAGTCAAAACAATACTTTGTTTAAAAAATTTTTGAAAAAGGTTTTATACTATTAGTGAGATGTATGTCAGATTTGTGTATAATCACTCATTTGAGCAAGGAGAATTAAGTAGGTTCTTAGCCTTAGATAATTAATTTAAATGAAATTATTGTTGATCTCACTGAATTAACTGAAAGCAGACTTTCATAAAACTGTCAAGATCTACTATTGCACACCTGTAGCACAAAATCTTTTTTTAGTTTAGAGAAAGCTATAAATATGTGACAATGTGATGTCTAACAAAAATCTTATTTATATATGAAAATACAGGGTTTTGCAATCATTTCTGATATATTTTATGTATACTTGAAATATCTGTCAAAAATATTTATAATTTCTGCATATTGCTGTATCTTAATGTAAATCATACTTCTGATATTTTGATAACTGGTAATTTATAATATTAAAGTCAATAACATATCTAAAATATCTAACAAATTATTTAACAAAAACCTATGTCGAAGTAAAAAACATTGAAGARATTGCTTTCAACAAAGATAGTAGAAAGGTCATAAATTTTAGATTCCTTGAAAACATGTCAGCAGTTAATATCTTTTTTATAACTGAATCTCATATTATTTTGATTTTCAAGCTGTGTTGGTATTATATTTTGAATATTGTACTATAATGCTTCGAGAGGCTATTAGAGATTAATTTAGTATGCACGACCTCAAAAACAATACAAAACAATTCAGAGGCAAAATTCAAGTTTTTAGAATTGATTTTTAAGTTATTGCCTTCCATAACAACTTTTGCTGACTCATTGCGGGTCCGGGGGTTTTTCGTCCATTTGATTTTTAATTCGAAAAGAAAATTGAAAAAGTATCCCAAAATCAATTTTGCATTTTTAATTTTTGTATTTTTTTGTTCCATTTGATTTTTAATTTGAAAAGAAAATTGAAAAAGTATCCCAAAATCAGTTTTGCATTTTTAATTTTTGTATTTTGTTGTTGTTTTTTTCACACTTTCTTGTAGATTTGAATAAAATGATTGTATTTTAAGATTATTGTGAAAGGAAAAGGAAGAATGCTTTAATTTTTGAAATCCTTTAAAACAAAACTCGAAAATCCCCCAGTAGGGAAGGACTGCTCGCTCAGTTTCGCTTCCGCCTAAGGCAGGGAGGGGTCAGGCAGTTTGTAGCCAGGTTGGGCTTCCTGTGGTATACAAGGCAACAAAATGGCGGCTTTTCGCAATTCGCCAAGGTTCTACAAGATACTCACACTTTAAAAGAAAACGTTTTCATCTAATTTGATATCTCGACTCAATTACAAGTGGAAAAGCTCTGTTCGACAAGCAAATGGAGACTTGGAGATCGCAACTCAACTGATGCTTGATCGTTTTGTGACTTGTTTTATCCAGACACGAATTCAGGATCGATAAGTTAAGTTAATGCTACATTAGCTGCAATAGCTATATATAAGCTTATGCCATACTAGTACCTTAAGTCTACACCGAGACAACATGCAAGAATCAAGCCCATCTATGCATTCCATTCCCGGATAACAAACAAGTAAACAAAACTCAACTGAGAACAATTTTATTTTACTTCACAACTAAATTAAACTTCATCTTACAGTTTGATTCTTTAAAAGCTTTAACATTTATAGTTGGCCGTACTTCGATCTCAACTCACAGGGTACTCTATCAGGACTGGTGACCGCTCATGGGGAGTAGTAATAGGTTAGGTCACGGAATCGTGTTACAGCATTTCTATATGCCTCTATATTTCCATTTACTACTTCATGAAATATAGTGTCGAAGTTTGGAATGTCCATTTGAAAAACGTTTGATCTTAATGTCTCAAGCTCAGCATTTCCTTGCAAAGGGTCTCTTCCAAATTCTGGCCAGTGTGTTAATGTACCTCCTCTTTGTTGATAKAGATTAACAGCTTGGGTTGTTGATGGAAGTATATTTGCTGCCACTGAAACTGTTTGCTTGTTTTCTTCCATGAGATTATCTGGTATGCCCTTTCCTTTAAATGAGTAAACAAAAATCGTTGTAATTAAAATACAAKCAGTACTACTTAATTTTTGACTTTTTGAAAGTACAAGTAGGAATTAAGTGCACTTACAGAAATAAAGAAAGAAATGCAATAGGCACTTTCCACTTTAACCTGAATCGAACCCAAACCCATTCTAAGGCAGATTTTTTTGGTTAAAGTGGAAAGGCCACATTTTCATTTCTTTATTCATTTCAGTTATCTGCATTAATCTAATTCTAAATCATGCTCTTCTACAACTACAGTTTATTTTGACTACTTTCTTTTGCAATGTGATTAGAGACAGATTAATAATCTGAATAACAAAGAAAATATGYAAGGCATTCTTGWAACTKTAGTAAAATATGACACCATGAGACAAATGGTCTAAAATAAAAAACAATTAAATTATTCTCTATTTGGTATAATACGCTTATTGCATCCACAATCTAATTATGGCTTTTTAAATCTTCCAGTGYAGACTGCCTTTGTACATTTCTATAGATGTTCCTGCTCTGATAATAATTACTGGTCCTTACTGAACCTTGCTTGTCCTAAAAATAACTAAAAACATGCAATTTTTTGTTTCTCATAAAGTTTACTCACCCAGAATTGGGTGATTATTCCATGCATCAATAACTTGACAAGTTCCAGTGAAACACACATAAGAGGAGACCCAAGAAACACAAAACTTGGTAACATCATCATCCATGTCTATGATTTCTTCATTAACCATGCTGTTAAGTGCCTTCTTGACAGGATAGTTGACTCTGGAATTAATCTCTACCCATATTCTTTCTGCAGCATGGTTCTTGAATTAGAGGGAAAGAATCTTTTCAGATATAACATTGCAATAAAACATGCCAGAGTGTTTTGTTAGAATTTATCATTGAATTGGTATTGAAATGCATTGAAATTTAGGGGTTTCAATCAACCTGCTTTGAAGTTGTCTGGATATATGGTAAACGATTTGTATTTCTTCTGTATTGTGATAGTAGATCTTGAACAAACAACATGAGATAAAATTCCTTGCCCATATCAACACGTATCTGATCCCATATCCCATGYGTGAGAACTGCAGGYCTAAAAGTTAATAAATTGTTTTAGAAAAGTATTGTAGTTGGGTTCTATATGAAAATTAATGTCCTCCATCTTACCTAAAAACATTCTCATATATTACAAGGTTGTTTTTAATTGGCATGATAGCATGACTGACAATTTTTCCACTATATCCATCTGTTGCACAAACATGTGTAACCCCATACATCACCAACTTTTCGTTCTGGTCAAAATGCAGTTTGTGACCAAAGTACTCAGCATAGTAAGGTATGGGATTTGTTTGTTTTGCTGTATTTGTCAATCTTTGTTGGTGATAGTTAGGTGTTGAATATGCCATACAAGCACCAAGACGCTTATAGCAGACATTTATGCCTCTAGATTTTAAAAGACCTTTAACCATCCTTCGTCCCCATACTGGACCAACCTGCAAAATTTACATTAAGACAATTTTTTGCTTACTCCGTAACGGTGAATTAAACAACTTAAACTTAAACTTAAACAACTTAAAGCACAGGGAGACCAATTAGAGGAAGTAAGTAGAATACATTAATATGATTAAATCAATTACTGCTGACAAAAACATCGCAGGCTCAAGTTTACAGGAAAGTGATCGAGCGAGYGAGCGAKTGACAGCTTGTCYCCTCCCAATAACTCTACGATTGCTACCGCAATCTCCGAGTTAATGATAAGTTAATGAATGCATGAACGGACATGTTCATAAGCTTACATGTAAAATCAGCAAATAAACAAGAAATGATTCTTCAATATTTAAACGAGGTGTAAATTTATCTACCTGTTGCACTGTATTTCTTGTTAACACAGCAAGACTATTCATGTCCAAACCAGATCTGAAGTGAAGATTTTTCTTTTCGCAGAACCTTCTTACAGAACGTTCGCTCAAACCTCTACTACTCTYCCCTACTGGTATGTTCTTTTTCAGTATTTCGCTGATTTCGCGATGTGTTTTCCCTTCATCAACAATGAGGTGCCTGACCCAATMGGTATCTACTTTATCCATATCAAAAACAACAGTGAATAAACAGGAATGATGCACAAGCAGTCGTACAACCACTCGTCAACTGCGTAGATTTTCAAAAACGGCGGGAATTTCGAGCYTGATCTGCCGGCGATTGGCWGTCTGCATGTCCCGGGGTTGGGGGGGGATACACTTGCTATACAGGTATGTGCCGCAGAATAGAGTCCCTTTTTTGGAGCTCTCAGTCTGGGAAAGGGTAGGTTTTTTGTCTGGGATAGGGWATAGTCTTCATTGTCTAGGGTAGGGTGGCGATTTTCTGCTGTGATTGTATCGGCTAGGCCACGTTTACAGCGCTAAGGCGGCGTTCATAATGTATACAGCAGAGGCGTGGAGAGGGGAGGGGGGCAGGTGAAATTTTTAATTTCCCCCCAAACAATTCAACACCCTGTCCACAACTAACGAAAAAATTTTAGCAACCCCCCGCATCCAAGCAAAAAAAA